ATTCAACAAATGTATGCAGAGATTGGTTATTTAATAACGGGTGACAACAGACCCATTAAAGATAAAAGGTTTTTTCTTTATACCTTGTTCGAAAGTACTTATTTTCGTCCCTAATAGCAGGGACGAAAGTTTAACATTTACTCCCTGTGCTATTAGGGACGAAAGTACGTACTTTCGACCAAGGTAAACTTTCGTTCCTGCTATTAGGGACGAAAGTAAGTACTTTAGACCGATGTAAGAAAAAAAATAGTATACACCACACGGGCCAAACTCGCCTCGGGCATCATGACGCGCAGGGCCAAAAATTCAACTTTCGGCTCTTGTAGTGTAATATACTATTACGTGTAGTTGGTTATATTAGACTGGGCCAAAAAAATTGACTATTTTTTTTTTTGAAAAATATATCGAGAATGTCATTCAGAATGACAAAAAAAATATTTCGTGAAAATTTGAGCCCTTAATATTAATTTTAAGAGGTCTATCATCACTATTTTTTATTTTTAGTCATAATTTGATGTTTTACGTTAGAACTGTCAAAATAATAAAGTGAAAAAAATTCCTTTTCACTTATTTTTATATAAAATTAAATTCTCTACAAAAAAGGTGTGATTGAAAATTTTCGTCAGACGAGCCGTTTCCGAGTAATTGAGCTTAATAAATCGATGTGTTTTTTCGATTTGCCCTTTTTACTTTGAAATTTTGTAACTAATGAATCAATGAATATTTAAAAAAGCTCACATCGGATTCTTAAAGTAAATTTAATGTTCTACAAAAAAGGTCTCTTAACATTTTTGCCTAAATTTAATTTTTCAAAAGTTATTCACGATTAAAATCGAAGAAAAACTTAAAATTTCAATTTTTTCTTCGTGAATAACTTTTGAAGAATTAAATTTAGGCAAAAATGTTCCGAGACCTTTTTTGTAGAACATTAAATTTCCTTTAAGAATCCGACGTGAGCTTTTTTAAATATTCATTGATTCATTAGTTACAAAATTTCAAAGTAAAAAGGGCAAATCGAAAAAACACATCGATTTATTAAGCTCAATTACACGGAAACGGCTCGTCTGGCGAAAATTTTCAATCAGACCTTTTTTGTAGAGAATTTAATTTTTTATAAAAATAAGTGACAAGGAATTTTTTTCACTTTATTGTTTTGACAGTTCCAACGTAAAACATCATATTATGACTAAAAATCAAAAATAGCGATGATAGACCTCTTAAAATTAATATTGAGGGCTCAAATTTTCACGAAATTTTTTTTTTGTCATTCTGAATGACATTCTCGATATATTTTTCAAAAAAAAAAATAGTCAATTTTTTTGGCCCAGTCTAGGTTATATATTTAAAAAATTTCATTATAGGAACATAATCTCATTTTTATGACACTTTCAAGTGCTTTAAATAACTCGCAAATTATACGTCAAACATGTTTAAAATTAATTTAGGCGTTAGATATTTATTAAACAAAAAATAGTTATTTGTTTTACAAGTGTTGAAAAGCGACTTTTTCATGCGAGTTTTTAAGTTACCCACGAGGCCGTCAGGCCGAGTGTGCATTAACACGAGCTTGAAGAAAGCTTTTCTCACAAGTATAACACAATGTTTTTTCTGCGACCCTTTTATTCTTTATTATCTTTAAATACAAAACAAAATAACCTAAAAACTTTTTTGACAGCTGAATGTCAAACGATGCTGTCAATTTCTTTTCATACAGACCTGTCACTTTTCACACAGAAATGTCACTTTACATTCGTGTTTTGCCTTGCCAATGAAAAGATTCATTTTCTAAGCAACGATGAAAAGTGACTTTTACATAGTGGTCGTAGAAAAAATAAATTCAAGCCCTTTAGTGACTAAACAATGTAATTTTGATAATAGGTAGTAATTAATATACGAGATTTCAGATAGATCTTAAACTGGGCATTTAATTCAGATATGATCTTCTCGTTTAAACTTTAAACTTCTTGTTTAAACTTTAAAGGATTTTTTTTTAGAAGAAGCCCTTCTTCAAGTTTGGATACAGAAAATAGTTACTGGGCAGAGTAGGCTTGGTTATAAGTAGAGATGGGATTTTAGGTTGCATTATTTAAGTTTAAAAATTGTAATCTAAATAGGTGAACTTTTTTCTTGTTTTAGGTGAGATAATTCTTAAATTAGGTACTGGAAAATACTTTTAGGTGGTAAAATTATTTAATTTATTATTGTATAAAATTTTATTAATCAAGATTTTTTTGATTTAAAAAAAATTAAGAATAACAAAAATAATCCAATTATAAATTTTTTAAGGTAGCAGCACAAAATGTTTTTGTAAATACGCAAATAATTCCTGACTTAAAAATTTAAATGTGATGATAGAAATGTTTGAATTATACTTTCTCATGAAAAAGCAAAAATTTGGCAGAATTTGTTTTAAAATGCAAAGCGATTCCCAGTACCAACCGCTATGTATACCAACAAAAATAACTACATTGTTCAAAAGAATTATGTCATCCAAATACGACCACCCCAATTTTACAAAAAAGCATGTTTTTGATGGTACAATTTGAAAATTTCATTTGTATTAAAAATAAGAATTTAGGTGTTATTTTAGGTGGTAAATTTAAAAATTAGGTCAATTTTTCTTAAAAATTAAAATTTAGCTAAAATAGGTAAAATAAAATCAGGGTCAAATGAATTTTTTTTTTCAAAACGGATTTTATTGCACCTTATGTTAAGTTATGATTAGCGTAGACAAATAGGTAATAAATCTAAAATCCCATCTAATCTAATTATTAGAAAAATTTTAAAAATTATTCTTTTGTAGGTTGCTGATTACGAATCCGTTATCGTATACGATGGAAAAGTTTCCGCCATATTGGATACGCCATTTTGTTTTCGAAAATTATAATTTTCGAAAACAAAATGGCCTATTCAATATGGCGGAAACTTTTCCAGAAACTATTACTTTTGTATTTTTGTATTGAGATAATAAAATAATTTTCACATTTTGTATTATTTTAAAAGAAAGGCACTTTATTTTAACGATTGTATGACATTGGACTTGTCAACTATCAACTAACTTAAAACTAACTTCAACCCGTGACTAAAAACATGTTGCTAACTTCAGCCCGTGACTAAAGCGCCATAAAGCCACAACTTGTCAATGTGTATTTAAAAGGTCACTTAGTGTCATGGATAAAGGGCGTTTTAAAGGTGGGGGTAGAAAATAGTATATTATGTATCAAGTTTTATAAACGCCATTTTATTAACGAGTTTTATTAGGCACAAGCGAAGCTTGCGAGCGAATGACAAATAAAAACAAGTGTGTAGAGAAGTTTATAAAACGAGTTACATACTCTACTTTATCTACGACGAACACAACGAAGAATTTAAACATTTGACATCTGTCAACTAAACGGATTTAACCTATGTTTTTCCTAATTTATAATAAAGCTAACTTCAGTCTGTGACTAAAATGCTCGAAAGCTACTATTGCTAACTTCAGCCCTTGACTAAAACGCCATAAAGTCACTGCTCGTCAATGTAGGAGTAGATAAGGAGAGTAAAGTATATAATTATAATTATTTTTTATTAAGTCGGAATTTATTTTGGCTCTATACCCACACATTCTACTTAAAAGGACACAACTTTCATTAAGACTTTTGTTAATTAATATTGCCACAGCACACTTAAATTAAAGTGTACAGCCAAGTATGAACATCCCAAAACAATTTAATAAATTCTAAAAATATCCCACGCAATTCAAAATAGGCGGCCGCGAGGCGTCACGACGCCGGCGCGGCGCGCGCCAGAATCGATCGACGTCGCTGCCAGACAAACAACCACCATTAAAATGTCAATTTCTTGTCACAAAATTGACCAAAAACACACAGAAAATGTCAGATAGTAAAAAGAGCATTCGATTGGTAAGTTTTTCACATCACGTTTGCCATGATTGTATTGCTAAACGCTATTTTGTTTGCTTGTGTCTCTTTTGTTTCTTGTCCATGGGTTGCTTTGATTATTTAGAGAAGTTTTCTAAGCGCACTTGGTGTTAGATTTAGTGTACTTCTGCATGATTTATTTGTTGGTTTCGTTCATTCCTGTAGCAATATTTGTGTATTCAATACACGAAATATGTTTTATAGAGGCATGGTTAAAATTAATGAGAGAAACATGTTTTATTGATCTTAATTCATAAATGATTTTGCAATTTTTAAATGTCATTATATAAAGAACTTTTAATATTGCAGCTTTAAAACTAAAATTCTTACATTTAAAATGTTTCTTAAGTTTAACAGTTTTAATGACATTGTTGCCATAATATTTTGTTTTACTTTACTATACCTTTGTTATTATAGAACATTGTATTTTTTAATTTATCTACGCCAGTGAGATAAGAACTTCTTATTCCACTCATTTTGAGTGAGATAAGAAGTTCATTAACGCACGCGTTTTTCTCTGCTTTTAACCAATCAAATAAAAAAGTCAAAATGTCAAAATAACCCTAAATTAAGTCTTAGACAAAAATAATTACCGTTTATTTTTTCATTTAGAGGCGTAGATAAAAATTTGTACAATATACCCACTTATATCGTAAATAACTACCTACCTGAAATTTTATCCGAATTAACTTTAATTTGTCCTCTTAAAAAAATATTTTTTCATGTAGTAGTTTTTAAAATATTTAAATTGTAGGTATGGATTAAAAAAATAATATTTTTTTATTATAATTTTATCATCGTCAAATTTGTTTTTTATTTTTTTGCACAAAACAACTTGTCAACTTAAAATAATAATTATACCATATCTCCACCTCCATCTCCCTACTTTTTTTCTTATGTTGTTTTATAATATTATAATTACTAATACAGTTATTTTTCTTATTTTTAGCAGGAAAAATGTCCTCCACAAATAAAGGGCAACGTTTCCTGACAAGAAGTCCCGTTCCGATCAAAAAACATATCGAACTTTTAATACCACCACCCAACATAGTCGAAAACAACCCGAAACAAAATTAACAATCGCGTAGTTTAGTAAACAAAAAAATTCGATCGATTTGTGGTAAGATGGGCAGTTCGTCATCGAAATTCAAAAAATACATCCAAAATGGCGATGAATACGCTGCCATGCAAATGTCGAAAAACGTGCCGGAACTGTACAGGAGCGTCGACCCCAACATCAGCTACGGCGAAAATCACAATCACAACACCCTGGTGCACTATGCTGCAAAACATGGTAAGAAATTTTGAACAAAATTAAACCAAACCAAAAAATGGCAATACTGTATAAATGTAAAATACACCGAAAACACTGTAATAAACAAAAAGAACAGGTCCCGTGGTGTAAGTTGGCGAGGCCCGACGCATGTGGGCGTAGCCCTTGATACTTGTATACTGGCTAGCAGCGGCGTCGACGATCGAGATTAAATTTTGAAGAGTGAAATAACCAAAATAATTTTAAATTATTAAAAAATATATTTAGATTTAATATTGTTGATACTTTTTATTTAATATCCAGATAAGTATTTATTGGTACAATTGGCGTCTCCGAAATGTGAACGATTTTTTGTTCATGGATTTTTTTCATAAAATTTATTCGTTCATTCCTGGCTTCGGTCAGTGGTGTTACATAGAAGGGGGAATACTAAGAATAAGAACAATATCCTAAATCGTTCTATTTTTTTTAATAATATTTTAACAAACAATAATATAAACAATATAACAAATAAATTAACTTTAATTTGGTTTTATACAACAATATAAATTAACAAGTAGGTAAATACACAATAAAAATAACATAACTAAATTAACATATTGCTCAAGAAAATTGGTTTTTAAGTGAAATAGCTGCAGATTTAAATGTTAGTAAAAGCTGCATATTTAATATTAAAAAACGTTGGCAAGAACAACAAAGATTGAGAAGACCTATCAGGCAAGGTGTAGGTAAAATCTCCAACGAAAATGAAGACAATGCTCTTGTCGCACTTATTAGGCAAAATCTTTTCAATAGCGCATTTAAGGCCCGAGAAGATACACAATTTCCAGGATCTCTTCGAACAGCTCAAAAAAGATTGAAACAAGCTGGCTTAAAAAACTGTGCTGCTAAGCTATTTTAATACTTAATTGCAGAGCCATTAGCTGCCACAACCCTTTGCAACCTTCTTGGCATGGACATTATTACCTCACGCATGTCGTATGACTTAGCAAGCTCATCCCAAGAATTTTCAACAGCACTCCATAGTCCATCTCGGTTTGCTGGCCTAGTCCCGTTGATATATATTTTTAACTATAAAACCCCACACGTTTTCAATGGGGTTTAAGTCAGGGCTTCTAGCTGGTCATGGCAAAACAGTTATGTGGTTGTTGTTTACCCACTCCACGCAGCCTTCCATTATTGCAAGATTGGAACGTTTTTTCATCCGAAAATAAAACATTATTCCAAAAATCGTCTCCATAATTTAGTCATTGGCGAACTGGACTCTCCTGTGCTTATTTTCGTCAGTTAAAAAAACCTTATAATCAGCAGCAAAGTTTTTTAAACCAGCTTGTTTCAATCTCTTTTGAGATGTTCGAAGAGATCCTGGAAATTGTGTATCTTCTCGGGCCTTAACTGCGCTATTGAAAGGATTTTGCCTAATATGTGCGACAAGAGCATTGTCTTTATTTTCGTTGGAGATTTTTCCTACACCTTGCCTGTTAGGTCTTCTTAATCTTTGTTGTTCTTGCCAACGTTTTTTGATATAAAATATGCAGCTACTTCACTAATTTGGCTATTGCCCTGGACCGCTGAGCCTCGGTTAAGCATTTTTAATATTGCAATTGACAACTAATATTAAATTTGACAACGACCGAGGACACTGATGCAAAGCCCATATTACACGATTAAATTTTGCCGTTCACATTTCGGGGACGCCAATTGTACAATTACTTAAATAATAATTAATTAATATTCTTCTAAAAAACTGTCGTCATCGCTACTATCATCTGGATCTAAATTAATTAAAAATGGTCTACATGATCATCCAACACTATATCCTGGTCAAGATATTAATCTTCCATAGATATTGCTTGGGGACATCTTTTATCCAATCCTCTTGAGTTATAAAATTTTCTCCACCATTTTTTTGCATCGTCCAATTTAAAAATGACATTTCTTTAAGCCACATTGTTCTTAATAAGCTCAATAGGGTGGAGATTGGGGTGGTAACCTCAACATAGTGTGTCCGTGCTCTTGTAGCAAAATATCTTACTTATATTATTTAAATTTGTCCTTGCGGTTTTTTATAATTTTATATAATTGAGGTTTTAGCATACCAGGATGAAATTCTATTTGAAATATTTAATTTTTGCTACGTATTTAGGTATATTTATATAGGTTTGTTACCTTCACTTAAAATTTGTATGTTACCTATAAAGGTATAATTATATAACTATAAGGTACCTTTTAACTTAAAAGGTACCTTATATAAAAGTTTTAAGATTATATTACTTTGTTACCTTTACTTTTTTAATTTAATATATTTTTTAAACTAGTTTATCAATAATTTTGCGATAGGATAAAATTTGAGTACACTTTCTATACAAAAAATTGCCACTTTCTATTCTGCATTGTCAAACACGTGTTAAACTTTACTCGAAGGGCGGTACCATTACTAAATTACGTCAATCGCGCATAGGGCGTTGTCTTCTGGAAAAAAGTACACATGGCAACACTGGTAGAATGTAAACTAAAGCTTGCAACATTGGAAACAAACTGAAAACTACAATAATTGAAAATGTTTTTTGTACATTTGATTACAAATAATTGAGGATACCCATCTGTCAGTTTAACGATAATTTTGTCTTTTCTAAAAACATTACAATATATGTATTTTTTGTGTATTTATAAAGATCTCAAATTAGAATACAAAATAAACCTATGCAAGTATATTATACTATTTTCAAAAAATAGCCCTTAACTGACAGATATATACCTAACCTTAATTCTGTGGGTAAAACGCATAACGGGATAAGTTAAAAAAGCTATTTTTCGGTAGAGATTTAAACGTGTTCGCATTAATTCAGGAAATATATTTATGGTTAGCGAGCATACCCTTTTGCTAGCATATGACATGAGCTGGCAAAAGCTAACCATAAATGTATTTCCTAAATTAATGCGAACACGTTTAAGGCACTACTAAAAAATTGATTTTTTTGACTTATTCCCTTATGCCTTTTACCCACAGAATTATTTGTATTTAAATTTCATGGTGAGTACGTATAAAACATGTCAAGTATCAAAAATCATTGAGAACGCTCTTAAAATTTAATTTAATATAAAATGAACCTGGAAAACCTTGTAAAAATGTAAAGTGAACCTTGTAACAATGTTAAAATGTACACCTAATAATGCACAGTATACTATAGGTACTCCACACCACGTGACTACGTACGGAACGCAGTCTTTTGAAAATTTGGCATTTAAGGCTTTTCAGGTTATGTATCTGTCGAAGTATAGTCAACGAAAGAAATAATATTATGTTTAGGCGTTAAAAATCCATAAATCTTTATAACATTACAATAACAATGGTTGGTTTAAGAATTTAGGAATATAAATACTGCATTTAATGAAATTCTAAAGTGTATTGTGCCAAATAAGTAATATTTTTGTGCTTTTGGTACATTATCTGGTTTTCTCCATGAAATAATTTTAACTAAACAGCATTTATTAAAAAAAATCTAGCTTCTCTATTATGAAATAAGTATAACTGTATTAAAAGTTAAAACTATTTTATGGAGAAATGTAGACCCAATGCACAAAAATATCACTTATTTGGCACCATACACTTTAGAATTTCATTAAATGCAGTATTATATTCCTAAATTATTAAACCAACCATTGTTATTGTGATACTATAAAGGTTTATTAACTTTTAACGCTTAAACATAAGCGGTAACACTATAGTGTATATTATATATAAATATTATTTCTTTCATTGACTATACTTTGACAGATACATAACCTGAAAAGCCTTAAATGCCAAATTTTCAAAAAACTGCGTTCCGTACGTGGTTACGTGGTGGGACTTTGAGGTGTGGAGCATAGTACGTGTGGAGACAATTGTTTTCGGTAGAAATATTTTGTAGAGGCAAATATATAATATTTTTATGCACGATGACATTATAATATGACAATTATAACAAAAATTCTTTGACGTAAACGTCTTTTTATAGCCCGCGGGCGTTATTATGACCCAGCGGGCTATAATGAAACGTCAAAAATTAAAAACAACAATGTTACACCATTTGATACAATCAAAGTAAGTTTTTTCGTATAAAGATTTTGATTTTTCCGGCAGCAGGCCGCAATTTTTCGCCTTTTCAGCTGCTTCCTCAATTTCATTCATCTTTAAACTTTAAAACTGACTGATGTCAGTTGACATTATAATATGACAATTATAACAAAAATTCTTTGACGTAAAGTCTTTAAAAACAATAATATATTAAAAATAATAATATATTAATCGTGCATAAAGTTTTGTATGCATTGCTGGCATAACTGGTTTTTATGGTCCTACGACGCTTTTCTAGCCTTCGCGCTAACGCGCTCGGTCTCGAAATAGCGCCTCGGACCATAAAAACCTTATTATGCCCTTAATACATAAATAACTATTAAATACAATGTTGTCAATCAATCAAAAAGTCAATTTGTAAAAATAGTAGATTATGTCATAAGGAGTAGAAGTGACTCTTTTTGTGGTGAGTACAGAGATTGAAGGCCGAAGCGTAGCTGAGGCAGGCAACTGTACGAAGCACAAAAAGAGCTTCTACTCCAAATAACATATACTATTTTTTTTCAAGGGCGTAATATAAATATAATAAGCAAAATTTACATTAAATGTACAATTACACGCACTGCAGCTCTTCAATTAAATCATGTGGGACAAAATTTTAGCTAAAAGCATTAGAAATTATTGATAAAAACTAAAAAAACTTATAACCCTTACTTACAATGCCGATAAATATCCTAAACTAAAAATAAACACAGCTCTGTCAAAATGCTGCGCTTGAATTAATTTTGACGTACTAACATTTGTTTGAAATTCCGACATTGCACATACAGGTATTTGCACGATCTACGCGGCAAAAAGTCCCAATATCAAAATTACAATAACATTCGTATGAGTTCCATGAAGAGAGTACGAACCCGGGAACTATTCGGTTACTCAATCTACCTGCTACCGCGCACCCCGCACCCGTAGCGCCAGTCTAAATTTGATAGTTTTACATAGTGTACGTATCTGTTCTTGGCGCTTTTCTAAACATCAAACTTCCAAAGTGATTTTTTATGTTATCAAGTTCTTCTTACGAATTGAAAGTGATGCATTCTGATGGACAAGGTAAGAAACTTACAAACTACATTGATTAAGCCATGATCTATTATTAAACAACATTATTTTTTTATAATGAAAATACTTAGTTTCGTACCGTTATTTCCTTCAATATTTTTTCTTTACTAGTGTTTTTGTTTATGTATCGGGGTAGATCGGGCTATGGTTATTATTATAGGTCATTATTTGATCTATTTCCTTATAACTACTATCAAAAACATCTCCGGAAACATCCGGATAAATACAGTTTTGAGGGATTAAAGATATTTAGCGAAATTTCGTAAAAAATTTGAAATATTTGTTAGCGACTTTTAACATAGTGGATGTTTGTTTTAGGCTCAGAGGGTGTATCAAAAGTAATGATTGTGACCCGACAATACTTGTTTGACCTCATGAAGAAAAAAATTTAACTAATTTAGATGCCAAATTAAAATCTAAAAGATCAACTTACTCTCTAAAAATGAATTAGTCAAAAATGACTAATTACCACAGTTATTAGCGGCTGTTTTTCACTTATACCATGTCCCCAACATTTAACAGCCAATTTTTAAGTAAAATTGTCTTTTGATTCCGAAAATACCGTCAAAAATCATAAAAGTAGAGCAGTTTTTGAGATATAGTCAATTCCATATTATATGGAAAATTGACTATTTCTCAAATTTTGACGACATTTTCGGATTCAGGGGACAATTTTACATGGGATACAAATTGCTATTGACGAGAATTATTAGTGGATGTTTTTTCGCAATGACAAGTCATTTTTGACTAATTCATTTTTAGAGAGTATGTCATGTGAAGGTTATAATGAAGACCAAATTTTTAGTTTTTGGCCAATTTCAAATCAGAAATTAAACAAGGTGGACCAAAGCTCATAAAGAAGATAATTTTATAAAATACAATCGGCCTTGGCTGGAAGGTACTTTTAAAATACCTGTTGTTGAGACTTCACAAAAACGGCCAGGTCGACCATCCAAGTCGTTCGAAGGCAAAAAACGGAAAAACTTCATTCTAATTTTGATAAGGAGATCATAATACCGCCAAGATTTTGCGAGAAAATTTTCCAGGGTAAATTGTAATCAGGATATTTTTAACTGCCTTCTACTTAGTTCAGATCCTATACTAAGTAGCATACGAACTGTAAAAAAAAGAAAGCAAAAACACTTTTGCCTGAAGCCTTGGCAATGTTTGTAAGTGCAGAATCCAATATATCAGAAAATTCATCAGAGAGCGACGAAGAAAGTCAAGAAACTTAGTATTATTATGTTTTACTTCCTTTTTACCGACCTAAAAATTTGTATTTTTTGTAAATATATATAAACATAATTTTGTTGTAAAAATAAGTTTTTTTATTTATTTACGTTATTTAGATACCAATTAAGCATAAAAATAATTTTGGCCGCGTAGATCGTGCAAATACCTGTATGTGCATTGGCGACTCGTCTATCATCATAATATTATACTAATAAACTAGTTGTTCTTTATTTCGTTCAATTAAAATTTAATAATTAATCACTAAATATTCCGTGCGATTATAATTAATATAATTAATACATCGTGATTGCTTAGTATGAAATGCTAAATTAATTTTATTATTTGACGTCTATTGAGTCACCTATGGATTTACTTCTATCCCTAGGCTTTTTTGAGTTTTTTGTCTGCCGCTAATGAAAAAGACGCACTTCAACTATCTCTATACATGCATATAAGGTTGTATATCATGGTCGCTTGAAAAAAAATGTTGTTTTTGTTAGAACCCTTTAAATTGTAAATCATTGGCAATGTAACAATGCCAATGTTGTATGTAGGTACTATAGGCTCCACAGCTAAAAGTCCCACCTTGACATTTGAATACAAATAATTAAGTTTATCTACCTGTCAGTTTAACATTAATTTCGTCTTATATTACAAAATGATCGTTAAAGTGAGATAAAAAACCTTAATTATTTCTATACGACTTTCTATACTTAGCCACGTAGAAATCGTGCCCTATAGATTCCAAGCGGTGGGCGTGGTTTTTAACTAAAATTAAGTCACGAGAAATCACTGACTACCACTGGTAATCTATACTGCAGGCTTTTTTTAAAGGAGTTGACTATCCTGTCTAAAGTATTCTTCGCTCAACATCAAAAAGTACACTTTAACATTTGCATAATCAAATAATTGATGTTATAGGTATATACCTATAGACAGATATATCTGTCAGTTTACGCAAAATTCATCTTATTTTCTGAAAATAATACAATATTCCTGTGTTTTTTGCTATATAGTCGTAAATTAATTTATGGTTAAGTTTTTAAAGATTCAAAGATTACCTAAAAATTGTTAACAATAAAAATTACGAAAAATTATCTTTTGTCCTTGATATTAAGTTATTGCAGATATGGGGTTTATAAACCTATAGCTTAGCACAGCTCATGTTTAACAAAACGTTATTGTAAAAGACTAGTGGGAGAAAGAGGAGATTTCTCGAACGTGGAATAGTTGCACCGAATATTTTATTGAACTACCGCAAAAAATTAAAATCCAATTTTATTTAATATTTTATTAGACATCACGGCTATTTTAAGCGCGCGAAATGCACGAATTACAAAACTGTTTTTATAAAAAAAAATATAGATAATTAATTTATTATATAATATTTTGTCATCAAAATTGTCAAAAAAAATCCCCTTTTATTAGGCTACACATTAAAAAAAACGCAAGAAATATTTTATAAAAGTATATAAATATATCTATTGAAAGGTGTGAATTGGACACTTGTCAATTATTAAAATTTTTACTTTTATAAAATATTTATTTCGTTTTTTTTATTTAAAGTAGGTACTTAGTCTAATAAAAGAAGAATATATTTGACAATTTTGATATGCAAAAATAATAAATAATAATTATTATTAATAACTATTTAATTTAAATTACCTACAATTTTTTTTATAATAACCGTTTTGTGATTTGTCCAGTCTGTATGGTTGAAATGGCCGATCTGACAACTGTTAAGCAGTTTTAACCTCACTTTTGTCCAATTTTAACTTAATCTAACTTTAGCCCGTAGGCGAAGTAGCATTTCGCCCACGGGTTAAAGCCTTAACTTCCTTAGAATGAACAATCAGAAATATCATTATTTTGCCCACTCTATTCTTAAAAATTAAGACCAAATTAAAGTTATTTTCAAATAATGCATTTTATTATGTGTTCACTTTATTTAAATAAGGGAGTTGTTTCCAGTTTAATAATAAATTATAAGTTTATAGAATTAATTTGCTTGACTTTTCCAACTAACAGTCAAACTTATACGCGATAATTTCTATTTACTAGGCATATAATTTAAATAATTTCGTGCAGTTAGTTGTTAACTTTAACACAGTTAAGCCGCTTTGGAATTCGTTTGAGTTTGGCTTATAATTATTATTTCGCTACCATTTTATTGTTTTCCACAACAAAACTTTGTGCTTATAGTTTCGAGATTCATGATTTAATTCATTATTATTATTTTCAGGCATGAAGCACCTATTGCGCACATTTTTGCAGGATATGAACGGAAATCCGAACAAAAAGAATGCTCTGAACGAAAACGCACTGCATTTGGCCTGTCAGTTAAATCAGATGAGTTTCAGTGCCTACGAGCGCAGAGCTGCCTGCGTACAGTTTTTGTTGTATTGGAGGGGGGCAGCATTGAACAACGGTGAGAGGGAAAAGGTCGATCTTGCTGCCCAAGACAAGGTAAGGTGTGAGCCAAACGGAGAAGTGTATTTTAAATGGCAACTAAAAAACATAAAATATATTAACTTAAGTCTGGATCTAACAGAAAAGTAATTTAATTTAACTTAAAAGTTAAAAACCCAAGAACAAGTAGGATATAGATATTATTAACGCACGCATGAGAAAATTTGCACGACGAGGCCGTAGGCCGACTCGGCCTGGCCGAGTGGTGTAATCACATAAGTGCGTTAATAACTCTAGTATCCTACGTGTTACGTACAACATTTTAATTACAACCATAACTTTTATTGATTTAATAAATATTTGAGTAAAAATAAAATGTTTAAAAATCGAATAAAGGATGCAGGTAATATGAATTTATATTACTTTAGCAACAAGCAGAGCTACGATTGTGAATAAATTTGGTGCAATGAAAAAAGATAATTAACTTGAAAGGCGAGAAAGGATTATTACACTATGTAACAAAATTTGATTTTTGTTTTGTTTATTGGATTTTTTTGTTAAATTACACTGTGCGACAAATTTTGACCTTACAATTTGAACTGGGATGAAATGTGGAAAAATCGAATCTATGCAACCCCCAAAACTAATCTTTAAAGGGATTTTGCTAGTTTAGCTCGAATAATGGAGATATACAGGGTGTTTCTTTTAACTTGGGACAGCTCAATATCTCGAGAAATACGCATTTCACGGAAAAATTTCTTAAATAAAAGGTTAATGTGACCAAAGGGGACATTATTTGGTGCTACCGCTAGCCACCCCCTACCCCTCCTTAAGGGTGAAAACCCGATTTTTTTCACAGAGTTTGGTAGTACATAAAAAAATGAATAACTTTTATTTGAAAGTTTTTTTCAATTTATCAACAGATGAGGCTGTAATTCAAAATTTAAGAAAAAGGGGTTTCCTTGTAAAATGTATTATTTGAAACGTTTGAAAAACAAAAATTAAAATTAAATCAACATTTGTTATAAATTGTTTTCATAGCCGACTATTGTTGTTACAGCGCCATCTGTTGATAAATTGAAAAAAGTTTTAAATAAAAGTTATTTATTTTTTTATGTACTACCAAACTCTGTAAAAAAAATCGGGTCATTCCATTTGACTTTCCAAAGTTACCCCCCGTTTCACCCTTAAGGAGGGGTAGGGGGTGGCTAGCGGTAGCACCAAATAATGTCCCCTTTAGTCACATTAACCTTTTATTTAAGACATTTTTCCGTGAAATGCGTATTTCTCGAGATATTGAGCTGTCTCAAGTTAAAAGAAACACCCTGTACATATATATATGTATATCTCCATTATTCGAGCTAAACTGGTAAAACCCCTTAAAGGATTTGTTTTGGGGGTTGCCTAGATTCGATTTTTTCAGATTTGATCCCAGTTCATTTTTTGTGTTGCACAGTGTTATTAATATTTGTGTGCCAAAAAACTATTCTAACTTAATTAAAAAAATGTAGTGATAAGTTTTTATTTTTTAAGGGGTATTTATATAATATAATCAAACCCAGTTTTATCAAAATCAAAAAAAAAAGATTGACAAGAAATGGCAAGAAATTCAACTCAGAATTATTATTTTAACAAAAAATACAATCTAGAAAAATATTTTCTTAACATAGATTTTAAATCTTGGCTCAAAAATGAATTTTAATACGACTTTTTCTTTTATATGATGCATTTTCTTCCCGAAGTAGATTTCAAACATAGTCACCCATCATTGTCGCATCCCACCTTCCTTGTTATCACTTTTCCATTGCCCGAATATCTGGATGGAATCTTTCTTCATGTTCTTCGCTGACATCTCAAATTTTCACGTAAAAAGTCAAGATGCGAATGCAAATAGTGTAGGTACTTTCAACGACATGCGGCATCCCATTTCTTTAAAACTTCCTAATAAAACTTTGACAAGCTCAATATAATTTTCTCTTTTGTGGTTACCAAGGAAACCTTTCATTTTAAATCTCACGTTAACTTTTGACTTTAAAAAATATGTATTATAATCCAATTTTTGTTAAAAAAAATATTCATTTTTTTACATGTTGTCCTCAAAGAAAGTTTAATGGCCAAAATCTTACGTGAGCGATAGGGGGGTCTACCACATCTCACCAAGGGGGAGGGAGGGGTCTAAATTACTAAAAAAATGCCTCACGTAATTAATGTATGTCCCCTAATGACACTCAAAGCCATCAACACGATCTGACGGCTGTCGTTGAAAATTTGACAGTTTGAAAAAACAAATGTATGTTACGTAATCGGGGGCATGGCCTACAACGATTTGTGTAATAAAATCCAGATAAACAAATATCATGTTACATAGTTTTAACGAATTAAGCAAAACCCAGAAGCTCTCTTTGGTGCTATTACTCGATGTTAAAAACAAATTTCATATAATCCTATACCTTGAGCTTAATTTAAGATATTAACACCAGGAATACAAGTAAGAAATTTCCTTAATGAAAATTTTCCATGAGGTGGATTGGAAGAGGTGGCCCTATACCATGGCCTCCTAGATCGTTTAAGCTTGTTGTTATTTTAGCCTCTTATCATTTTTTAGCTAGTAATTATTTTAGGATGTCCCCAATTTAACAAGTTTTATACAAGCTTATGTTGATTTTAGCTTGTCTGAAATTATGATTGTTATTACTTTTATTTTCATTTAAGCTTGTCGTCATTTAATCTTGACCTTGTTATTTTAGCATGCAATTATTTTATATTAGCATGTTGTCATTGTAGATTTTTGTCATTAAGCTGGTGGTAATTTTATCTTGGCAAATTGCATAATATTATTATTATAATAATACTAGAGACCGGATTCTATGCAAAATGCCTATCGTCAATTTTGATAGGCCGTTTGAAAATAGTTTTTGTCATTTAAGTACAATTTAAACTAACATTTTTTTTTGTCTTTTTTTTTTAAATTTACTAAAATTCATAAAATAGGAAACAATGGCTTTTTTGTTCTCTTATTTTTTTAACAAAAAATAGCGGCGACGATTGTTTGGTACTACTAACTGAAATATAAACCATCAAAATAATTAAAAATGCATTCATCATTTGTTAAATAATTTTTTTTTTATTTAAATTAATATTTATTGTTAAGACTATTTTTTTAAATTATTTTGTATATACGACCCAACCCATTTGTTTGCGACTCACCCCTGTAAAATCTTTATTTATAGTGCGATTTTAACTGGATTTGTTTTAAATTGTAGATCTTAAAGAACTGTATTTATGGATCAAAATAAATCAAAATTTTACAAACTGTATATTAGAATAAACTTGTATATTTTTTAATATTGCACTGAAAAAAAATAAGCTGTTGACACAACAACAAAAATATTAATTCAAATCTTTATGCACTTTAAATACAAGCAATGGTTTTTGCACGTTTACTTATCCATCTAAAAATGTCAAATTATATTATTTAATTGAACAACAAATATTAGTCAAATAAACAAAATGAGAATATTTGTTCTAATCTGATAATCTGGTTAATTAAACATTCTTGATTTGTCGGAGTAACCTTTTTAGCATATTCACTTAACACCAATAAAATGTTAAATTAAAATAATTTGCGCTAATGTTGGGTTAATTGGGTTGGGTTAACATTATGAAAATGTAAAAGTAATATTCTTTAAAGGTTGGTATTCAAAACAAAATTATGGAATTAATATAAAGAGAAAGAATTGAACTTTCCCTCGCTAGAGTTTTTGTTTTGAGTGCGTTCCACCTACTTCAAATACCTACTGACAGACAGCTGATTCGACCTATATTGGGGGTCTTATCAGTGTCGGGCAATTTGGTGTAGTGGAAGTTCCACTGTGGAACACACCCAAAACAAACGGTTACCTGATCTTACACTGTTTAAAATATCTGTGGTGTAAAAAATAATCTTAAAATGGTGTCAAAATCCAACACCAAGTGGTGTTAATATAAAATTTGTACCGATCGCGGCAAAGGCGGTGTGGATCACGTGATGTTCTTAAATCTCGCCTCTGTTGACTTACATGAAGAATATATAAACTCAGGTGGTCCTTTGCTTTGGTGTGACACTACAAGTTGTTCGATACTAAAGAGACCTTAAATAGGTGGAAACAGCTGTCAATACTTGAAGTATTTTAAGTTAGTGGAACGCACTAAAAACATTATCTCTAGCGAGTTGAAGGTTCCATTTTCTGGAATAATACCACTGGTAATATACTGGTAATGCGTCAAGGAACTTCCTGTTTCCTTTTTTTCCTTTTTTTCTGTGTAGTATGATTTAATTTGACCACAAACACATAATATTTAACACTGAAAAGGAGTTTAATTTACACCAGGTAAAATTTATTTTAATACTGTTAAATTAACACCATTTTAGTATTTGAATTTACACCGGCCAACGAACCATATTTAACACCATTTTGGTTTGTATCGATATAGACCATGTATGGTGTTAATTTGGTGTTAAAATGGTCATGAAATTTTGAACAGTGTATATACTCCTATCGTAAGCCAACTGAGGCGAGATGTAAGAACATCACGTGAAGCGCCCTTCATGGCAATTTTATGAATGGAAAATTAACAAATTTTAAAGTAACATTTACAATTTGTTAAATGAACAAATTTAATGTTTTGGATTTAAAGAGCAACTAAGCGTTAATTTAATAGTTTTTTTAGGTAATCCTAAAAATTTCAGTATTTGATTTAACCAATTCCAGCTATTAAATAAAAATAGGATAAACATTTTAATTCAAAAAATTAGTTTATGTTAAATCAATATTTTAACTGTCAAATGAACAAATAAACTTTGACAAACTCTGACTATTGTTTTGACACCAAAATATAGATTAATCCAATAGGTTTTTTGATGAAACAATATTTTCAAAAATGACATTTAGGCAAACGTTAACTCAACTACATTATTTTTTTCGCTGTGCCTTTTTTGTGCCTATTTTGCAATTTTGAACTGTTTTTTGGAAGGCATTTTTCAATTTTGCCTTTAAAGTCCGAATAACAGTATTGTATGATAATAACATAAAAACTATAAAATGGCAATGACGCCCAGCTGAGCTAGTTCCTTTAAAATGCTGTAAATTTTGTCTTACTGTTTACTAGTTTGGTTGGTTTAAAAAAATCTATTTTAAAATAAACAATTTTTTTATTGATTTTTTTTTAGGAAGGAAACACTGCTCTGCACTGGGCTGCCGCTACAGGTTTAAGAAGATGTGTTGAACTATTAATAGCCCATGGATCTCCATTATTTATTGAAAACAATGATAAATATACGCCATGCGACTTGGCAATGAAGGCATCACACCACGATATTGCCGAATTTCTCGAGAGCCGCATGGTATTTGTAAGTAACTTAAAAAATCCAAACACTGATGTAAAACATAATTTTTGTAATATTTTATTTAGGCTGACAATCCTAATACCGTTAATGAAGACGAAATGATAATCGAGCAGGAAGAAGTCTACAGTGGCCTAAGGAGTCAGGACTTGCAGGAAGCTAAGGATCAACTTCTTGTAGACACATCGGATATGCTTAAAATACCCCTATTTACTGCTGAAGCTTTACTAAGAGTAAATGGTAAGAAGTTAACCTAAATATGGAAATAACTATTATAAATTTTTATTTTTTAAGAGTGGTCCAGAGAACTTCTGCTGGAAAAATGGATGAAAAATGCTGCTGAATGCTGTGAGTTTGCAGGAGTACAAGCCCCATCCTCCATTTTACACCATGCTAGCTCCTTAGATTCCAGTATCTCCAATGAAACCAACGACGAAGAATTTATTGTAACTAATTTTCACAATTTGTTAAATTAATATTTATATAATTTTCACTTTAGTGTGAGATTTGCTATAACTCCATCACAGACTATGATAGATCCATCAAGATTTCCTGCAAACATATTTTCTGCAAGACATGTTGGAAAAGCTATTTAAACATGAAAATTCAGGATGGAGATGCTCATCATATACTTTGTCCAGCGTACGACTGCCATATTCTTGTTCCTGTGGATTTAATCGAGAAATTGGTCAGTCCTGTGATGGCCAGGAGATATCTGCAATTTGACATTAAGGTAATAATATTCCAAAGAAAACCTTTTAGTTTACCCAATTTTTTTACAGGCTTTCGTAGAGAGCAACAAATGTATAAAATGGTGTCCAGTGGCGGGGTGCGGTCGAGCCGTACGCCTACCCGAAGCCGAACAACATCGAGAACCACGCGAAAAAAACATCCCTCTTACGTCTCACGCTGTGGACTGCGGAAACGCACATTTCTTCTGTTGGGAGTGCCTTGGAGAAGCCCACGCACCCTGCGGATGTAAAGAATGGCACGAGTGGCAGGTAAACATTGTAAATTAGAACATTATAAAAAGAGTTTTTTAGACGTTTAGTCATGGGCGTAATTTCAGCTTTTTAACAGGGGTGGCAAGGCGTACCGGTGGTCTAGGGGTACGGTGGTACTTCGGTGAAAATTTATGTACTTAAATTAATAACCAAAAAAATTTGTAAAAGTATCATTTACACACTAGAGTAGGCATATTTTTAATTGATTGAGTGTTCTGCCTGATGTATGTATGTATCGATATCATGTAAGTAAAAATTCCGCAAACATCATACAAAAACAAAGCTTTATTCAACTATAACTCAATGTCATCATCACAGGTTAGTTTTATAAAAAATTAAGTATTTGGTTTTGGCTTGAATTAAAGTCTTCTATTACTTTGGAAATGTGTACTTATCAACACTTATTTCGATAGCAAAAAAAGCTAACAAGGACTCGTAAAATTTTATTTTACAGTTGTTTGTAAATTATTGATATTTTTACTTCAAAATTCTGGGGTTTCAAAATATTGTGTTAGACAATTTTGGAGAAGCAACTGCCACCCCTTGATACCCCCAAATTATACCACTGAGAATAGTGGCATATTGCTTTATTGTCATTTGTGTTTAAATATCGTGCATATGGGCCGCGGCTGGGTCGTGAATGGGCCAAACACAAATTTGTTTCTGATTCTCACGAATATGAGTAGTAGTAGTATATGAACGTATGGCTGGCCCCATCGGCATCGCCTATTATTTTTACCAACTTTCAATTCTTATACGTATCCCGCAACTGCACAGCATTACCTGTGTTTGAAGGATCCGAATTTTCACCCCGGCTGATACTCTCTTAGGAGGTCATGGATGATAGTTTTCATGGTTAAGGCCCTTTCCGGAATTTTGTCGCCGGCCAGGCTCATACGCCCGATTTAGGTTAGTGGAGTGCGGGACAAGGAGGGAGAACATTTTGGTTTTTGGGGGACTGACCCAAAACTAAGTTCAATCAGGAATCCCCCTCAACTAGGGATTTAGTAATACCTTCATTCAATTGGGGTTCATGAATGAGGTTTGGTTGGTTAGTACGCTGTTAAGACCCATCCTTGCTGGTCTTGTAGTACTTCATGTTCTGCGGCCGTATCTGCTAAAATCGGAAACTGATGTACGCATTGTTTGCCCCACTGTGCTATCCATTTCTTCGGTCTGGAGGTCGAGATATCGATATATAGTTTTCGATAGTCAGTAATCGTTAGTTTTTGATGATTTTTTTTAATGTTTATTAACGAAGTTATGCTATAATTGTCTAACAATCCTAGTTCATGTGTTACCCGAGCGTTCCGTTGTCTACGTAAATTTGTATTTACGTTGTTTTTTTTTTAATCTTTTCTCACAATCAGGATGTTGCATTTATATATTATTAAATTTAATAGAAGACAAACGTTAAAAGAAATTATAACTGCTGTGGCTCGCAGAAAGCTATTAATTTTGTTCGATAGTTTGAGGTGTCGAGTGATGTATTATGTTTATGTTAGTCAAAGATCAGAAATCCGTTTAAAGTGTTAATCTACTTAAGATTTATGGGTTTATTGGTACTTATAAGTTACGTCCTTTGGTTGAATGCTTGTTTATAATTTTAAATCGAACTTGCTTTGCTGAATAGGCATTAGGTATTCTTTGGTCTATTAAAATGTTGGTTTATTCACCTCTTTTAATGTTTTTTTAATGTATTTTTGTTGTCCCTGTTGTCAGATTTTTCTACGTGATAGGTATAAACACAGGATACACACACACTGGTATGCTCTTGCGCTTGTATTCTCTTGCGCATGACATGTTGTGTGACGTCAGGTGGATTGCAGCGTTTAAATTTTAAAATTTAATGTACGAATATATGTTATTTTTAAGAAGTGAAACTTGATAAATATACTTGCTTATATTTTTAAGAAGTGAAACTTGATAAATATACCTACTTATTTATATTTTTACTGTTACTTTGGGACTAATTTTTGCATTGTATTTGCACTCAATTATTGGATTGCAGTGACTAATAGTTTAATTACTGAGAACCCCTTAAATTTAATATACGTACCTTAAGGTAATTATAAAATTAGATTTATTAGATATTATTCAATTAAAAAAATATATTTTTACCATCTATATATTTTTTCTACGGTTGGTTCATAGAACTCTTCCTCTTTGGTTGGTAAAAATCTATTTTTTTAATTGAATAATATCTAATAAATCTAATTTTATAATTAAAAAATGTAGGTATGTAATTGACACTTACCATTTTTTAAGTTAATTTCGTCATCTCGTCGGTAAGTAAGTATTTTATTTCTGTTCCTTTTGTAACTCGAACATAGTTTTTACAAGTTGCCACGGCACAGTTTGACATTTTAACTGCACAAATACACAATAACAATGTTTACAAATATTAAAATCACATAATTATGTGGTGAAAACACAATAAACCTTAGAAAAACACAAAAATAAAAGCGATTAACCTCAAATACTTTCAAACTTTCAAGACAGAAATAATCCAGATGACGTAATGCGCAGAAACGACTCATTTTGGTTCGACTAAATAGCATACCAGTGTGTGTGTATCCTGGTATAAACACGAAGGAATGGTAGGTTTGGTGAATTTCAGAATTACAAGCTTTTAGCATTGCGAATAGTGTCGTACAAATATTATTAAAATACTTATTCGAATTTCGCAGATACCCCGAGTCAAAATTAAGATCGTAATTTAAACCTTAAGCCTGACAATTTCCGTCTTAAACGGTTTTATATTCGCCTAAAGATAACCAACTTATGACCTAAAACATGGCAGATAAGTCCATTTTCCCGATTTTTCGGTTCTAATTACGTTTAAATTTAAACCAAATTTTATTAGAGGTTTAAATCGGTTTAAATCGGTTTAAATCGGTTTAAATCGGTTCAAATGAAGATTAATTCGGTTGTTCTAGTACTAAATTGGTAGGTCAAAGTAGGTTTAAATTACGATTTAAATTTTGACTCGGGGTCCTTGTGATTGTTCTCTTTCAGTTTCCCGCCACAATGAACCAACTTTTCAGGCCGATGGCAAAGGTGAAACTATGCACTTTGCACTTTAGTCTTAATCAGTGAGGTGTTTACGTACATTGTGATTCGCGAAACAACACACTGTTGAACGAAACTTTATAGGTATTCTGCTGGCCCAGGAGTTCTGAAATGCATCTGAATTAACGACATAGTTTTCAAAAACAATCGGTATCAAAACTGGTTTTTAGATTTTTATAATCTTCTTCTTATTTTAACTGAACATTATTTAAGCTTGTCAGCATTTTAGTTTGTATATTTTTCAGGTTCATATTAGTTTGTCATAGTTTTATTACATCTTGGTAATTAATTAACTTAAATTTATTTTACATTGTTGTAATTTTTCCTAATCCTGATTAAGATTGCCGGTATTTCCTTATTTTTGTTTAAGGTTATTTTAGATTGACGCAATTTTGGCTTTTGTATATTTCTTTAAAATTATTTAGGTTTGTTAGCTTGTCATTTTTTAAATATTGTCGTCATTTTATCTTGCCATCATTTTATTTTGTCCTAAAATTCATTTCATATTTGCTTAACATTATATTGCTTGTATATTTTTCTCCAAAATTATTAAGGGTTAAGATTTATTAAATTGGTGTTCCCCTTATAACTTTACGCTTGTTTCTTCACAATATTTTTACCAAGAAAATAAAAAAACTACTATTTAAACACTAGGTTAAAATAGCTGAAGTCAAACCCGAAGAATTAAAAGCATCATGTAGTGGAAGCGAAGACGCGGCAAATTGTCTATGGCTCGTAACAAATTCAAAACCTTGTCCGAACTGCAAGAGCCCCATCCAAAAGAACGAAGGATGCAACCACATGAAATGCTCAAAATGCAAGTTCGACTTCTGCTGGGTGTGCCAGGAATCCTGGAAGCGTCACTCGTCAGCGACGGGCGGCTATTTTCGTTGCAACCGATTCGAAGCCGTGCAAAAAGCCGATGAAAAGCAGGGCACGATGGTGAACGACGCTGTGGATAGAAACAGTCAGCTACAAGAAATGTCCAAGTTTTTGCATTTTTACACTAGATATAAGAATCACGAGAATAGTCAAAAGTTAGAAGAACCTTTATTAACTAGTGTTAGGCAGAAGATGGAAGTGCTGGCGAGTTGTTTGGGGTTTAAAAAGAATAAAGATGGTAACTACTGGGATTTTTTGTTGTTATTTTACTTAGCATTAATTATTTTAGCAGAAAATGTAGATAAAAGTACCAAGTTTATTGAGGACGGAGTTAGGGAGTTGTTAAAAGCCAGAAGGGTTCTATGTGGGTCTTATGTTTATGGTTACTATTTGGAGGATGATGGGTCTAATAAAACAATTTTTGAGTTCATGCAGGTACGATTTATATCTACATCAAAACCATTGAGAATTTCTTTAAAATATTTAATTTTTAGAACGAACTGGAAGAGGTGACAGAAAAACTAAGCGAAATGGTAGCACGTCCATATCTACGGACACCAAAAACAGTTATAGTCCAAACATCAGCTTTAGCAAGGCGAAAAAGACATGAGTTTGTTCGAGCAGTAGCACAGGGGCTTATACCGCCAGAAACACCACCATCTTTCAGAAGACGACGAAGAAAATACATCGATGTAAGTACAAAGTTGTCTTTGGTGTCTTCTTTTAGGCAAACTACACTTCAATGCTGATAAAAAAGTGGGTACTTACCTATCCAGATTTTGAGTCAAACCCAGAAAATAAAGTATTTAAGTATACATTTTATTTTCAGAGCGACATATCTCAGACTAGCACCTGGTTGCGAAGTTGTGAATGGCCCGAATACGATTCTGACGAAGAGACTGATATTGCATACAAATCTTTTTCGGACGAATCTCCACCCACAGAACATAAATGTGGCGTATCTTGCACAATGCATGGGGGTGATTATAACCTTCAATTAGCAATCGCTTTGGAGTTATCAAGGTTTCAAATGGTCGAAGACACTAAGAAACAAACCAAAATTATCACACCCCCTGATCAAGGGTCCAGTACTACCAATCACAGAGAAAATAACGTTGATAATCAAGTTAGACTCGCGATACAGTTGAGCTTACAGGAGGAAACAACTGCAATTAGTAAGAAAATTAAGAGCAGTGCAGATATTACGGTGGATTGTTTTCTGAAATCTTTGGCGAATCATAAAATCGATATTAAGTCATTGGAAATCAATTCCGATACCGAGAGGGATTTTGTTTTTAGACCTTGTAATGGTAAAGAGGATGGGAGGTTTCAAATTTCAGACATTCATGACAAAGGTTCATATCTAATGATATCATATAATTATTTAACAATAACATTTACATTATAGGATTTGCCTTTGAAGACATGGACGACTTTGACGATGATACCATCCGGTTAAAACGTTCGCATTCAACAGGAGATCTGCGCGTACGTCGTGGTAGAGGTGCGCGCGTGCGCACTAATGCCGATGAGCCCAGATACCACCTAGACTCTGACCATAGTAGCCAACATGATGAAAAACCTGAGGACGTGGTTAGAAGACTGTTAACACTACCCAGCACTTCTGTAACTAAAACAAAGCAGTTCATCTTACTACATACGTCTTATCCTGAAGAGGAATCCTATCAAGGTATATACAAAATTGTTAATCACTGTTAAAAAAATGTTATTAAATATTTTGAATTTTGTTTTCCTCTGTAGCAGTAGACATATTATAGAGTCAATCCAAATGAAAACACCAAAAATGAATTTAAAAGTGCGCTGCATGATTTTTTATTTTAATGAAAAAATTTGAGAATGATCTTTTAGGTATCTTATATGAAAAACCGTGGCCGTTTTAATTTTTGGATTCTTTACTTTTAATCGGCACCCTTTAGAAATCTGAAATCGTGTCAATGTCTTACTCTCTTATAGTGGTCCAGAACTTTTTTTCTGTGACAAATATTGAAATGATTTTAATTTTTTTGTACTGTTCAGTAAGTGTGTTTTCAATGTAAATTATTATAATCCAATTAGTTAAACTCATAAAAGAATGGTAAACCACGAAAGATTCATGATAATTTGCCAATTTTTGTGATTTTTGTCTGGCTCCTGTGCCTATTCTACTAAATCTAGAAAGTTATTTTTTTCAGGTATCAAGTGTGTTTTCAATATAAATTATTATAATCCAATTAGGAAATGTAGTCCCAACCTTTATCTTTTCAGTCTAATTAGTCTTGTTTTGTTATTTTTATCCATGTAAAAGATATAATAATTTTTTAATGCAGTTAAGAAGCGATATTGTTAGTTTTATTTATAATTTAAAATTTAGATAGCTTTGACTTAGTCAATTCATGTTTGGTAGAGAAATGTCAGAACTGTCAAAAATATTTCATAAATATTATTTGTGCGTATTTAAATTGTGATTTCAAAAAGTTTGCAAGTTTGCAAGTGTAATAAATGAAGAAGTGTTCGAGATTCATGAATTTAATTGCAATTAAAAATGCAAGAACATATCATAATTTTGTACCTCTTTCTCATAAAAAATATTTAAGTTCTCAGAAGTTTTAAATTGTTAAAAATAAGCAAAAACCAAAAAATATTTTAAATAAACCCCTTTATTATAACATGTTTTAAGTAACCAAAAAACTAAAATTTAAAGAAATATTTACAGATTGTGTAAATTTTTTTCCAACACTAACATTTAAAAAACATACATATAACTTTTAACTATTCAGTGCCTTACTAAAGGGATCAAAATAATAGAACAAGCTTGATCTTGTTCTTGCAAGACTAACTTGGTTTAAATTGTAAAAAACCGACAAAAAAATGCTTAACGCATTTTTTATACGTTTAAATTAACTCTTTATTAATTTCACTTATTATACTTTACGATATAAACCATTAGGATCTTGAATATATTTTTTACATTCTTTTTCTTTAAATACCAATTAGCCAATTAAATACTTCATTATAATGTATATAATTATACAATACATAAAATATAACATAACTACCATATATATCAGAACTGTCAAAAATATTTCATAATTGTTATTTGTGGTATTCCTTTGGTGATTTTAAAAAGTTTTGTATATAACAAAATTTACCAAAGAAATACCCACAAATCTGTGGGTAAAAGGCATAAGGGGATAAGTCAAAAAAAGCAATTTTTCAGTAGAGCCTTAATCGTATTCGCTTTAATTCAGGAAACATATTTATGGTTATATACGGGTATACCCTTTTGTTAGCACATGTCATATGCTAACAAAAGCGTATACCCGCTAAACATAAATATTTTTCCTGAATTAATGCGAACACGTTAAAGTCTCTATTGAAAAATTGCTTTTTTTGACTTATCCCCTTATGCCTTTTATCCACATAAATAATATTTATGAAATATTTTTGACAGTTCTGACATTTCTCTACCAAACATGAATTGACTAAGTCAAAGCCATCTAAATTTTAAATTATAAATAAAACTAACAATATCGCTTCTTAACAGCATTAAAAAAAAAATATTATATCTTTTACCTGGATAAAAATAACAAAACAAGACTAACTAGACTGAAAAGATGAAGGTTGGGACTACATTTCCTGAAAGTTTAAGATTTTTATTTTTTCCTCAACATAATGATTTCTGAGGGCAAAATTGGCTAATTTTGAAAATTATCAAGTTTCAATAATTTTTTTAATTAAGAAAATGATAGTCTAGAAACTTAAAATAATAGTTACGTTTTCTATTGTATAAGTACTTGATACATGAAGAAAAATAACTTTCTAGATTTAGTAGAATAGGCACAGGAGCCAGACAAAAATCACAAAAATTGACAAATTATCATAAATCTTTCATGGTTTACCATTCTTTTATGAGTTTAACTAATTGGATTATAATAATTTATATCGAAAACACAATTATTAAAAAGTAAAAAAAAATTAAAATAATTTCAATATTTGTCACAGAAAAAAAGTTCTGGACCACTACTAGAGAGTAAGAAATTGACACGATTTCAGATTTCTAAAGGGTGCCGATTAAAAGTAAAGAATCCAAAAATTACAACGGCAACGGATTTTCATATTTGATACCTAAAAGATCATCCCCAATTTTTTTATCAAAATAAAAAATCAAGTAGCGCACCCCATTTGGTGTTTTTATTTGGAATGACTCTATATGAATGTGTATAATAATGCACTTCTTTGCTGTGAGCAGTTTATTATTACACACCTATATTTTATATTAGATGTTTTAATAGGACAAAGCTCAATAGAAGACACAACAACATCAGACTCCATTATAGCAGACATGGAAGTCTGCGGTATTCTAAACTCGGTTACAGACGAAGATTTAGGCAGTAAAGCATTTACTGAAGATGAGAAAGAAGTTAAAGTGAATTCTCCAGCAGAGGAAACGGTTAAAGAAACACAAAAGACTGAAAACTTAGCCAAATTAAACGAATGCAAAAAACAAACTCACAATCCGTTTGCCTCCTTAAAAGCTAAACTGTGTTCAGCACACCTTCCAAAAACCGGTTATCTGTCTAGAAAAGCCGTCAATAAAAGTATAGGTAAGACGTTCTTACAGAATTTGTCAAAGTGTTTATTAGATGTTTTTTAAGGTCTTTTAGGCGACTCAAAATCGAAAAAATCAACGGAAGAAACAGCTGAATCCTCAGCAAAAAAATTTGTAATTACAGAATGCAAATCGGAGAAACACAGCCCCAAAAAGGCGCCCAATCAAAGTGCTACGAATTGTTTTTCGAAATCCACAGGGTTTTTGCTAGAGCAAGAGCGAAAATTCAACAAGGGGAATTCTTCCAAATTAAGAATAAGGATATGTCCGAGTCCGGAGCCAAAGTGTAAGAACCACGTGCTTGAGACTGATAGTTCTAATGAATACGAATCGGAGACGGGCATACCGAAGTCTCCAACTCTCTTTATATCAGGTAACAACAAATATTTTACCAAAATTTAGTTGTTAGATGTTAATTAATAATCGTTGATTTAATTATATCAACTGATTTACGCATATACACTGATTTCAGTTTGAACCAATTCGGCAACATAGCAAATTTTAAATAACAGTAACAATTCTAAAATATCTTACATATACTTAAATATGTGTTTATTAGGTACAATATAAGAGTAAAACTTGTTTGAAATGTTTTATTAAATATACACATAAATACATTTATAACTGACTGAACCTTATTATTGACAAAAACTTGGTTTGAAGAGAATTCCGCAATATAAAACACACAATTGGGTTATGTTCGCACTTTGCAATGTGTTCAGGTATAAGTAAATTTGCATTGGAATCACAGAGGATTAAAAGGTATGAAAAACGAAAATTACGGCTTAAAACCTCTGAAAAGAATAAAGAAATTTTGTTGAAGTTGTTGGAAAGTGTTTGTTCTTGTAAAATAGTAATTAATTGTGCACTCACGTGCAAAATAATCGATCCACACAAATTTTCGATGAATTTCAATCGCAAATAACTTTTTTATTTGATGTCGGATTTAAACGAATATTAAAGAATATTGTAGATAAATTAATGGACAATCGCTCACATTTTAAAAAAATACTAAAAAATAGACGTACGTTTATAATATACAGGTTTAATCAAAAAGATGTTTTTTACCATAAGTTTAAGACACTCTGTAGAGTGGCAAAACCGTATATTGTTCTAAATTGTTTTATTTATTAAGTCACATCTATTCTTAACAGTTTTGTTTTTGGTTCACCTCGATATATTTATTTTTGTGAAAAATATGGATTTTTTTAAAAAAACATTGCAATTTCCAATATTTTTCCTGTATGAAGAACTAAGGTTGCTATGGTCCATCCATAGCCTATGGAGAATGACAGTGACAGTTTTGTTGCATCATCCCATACTTGGACATGTCATACACGGCTTTCAAAAGCTATTGTGAGTGTATTATAATTATATCATAATTATAATAATTATATTATAGTTATAGGAATACTACACCTGTTTCTAAAAGGCAATGCTCTCTTACCTATTCTTGTACAGGTACCAATCACACATTTTTAGGCATTTAGGCAAATGTTTTGAAAAATAAATGCAATGATGCCAAAGACATCGAGAAGGAAAAAAGACATTTAAAATTTGTGACAAGAATCTAAAAAAATTAAGAAACAAACTCTAGACTCTAGGTTCTTAACTTTTTTGGCTGGCGACCCACAATTTAAAAATATTAGAAGCTCGCGACCCGATAAAAAATAAAATCAATTTTATACATTTTTTTAATTTAAATTAAGGATGCAGTGATTACGGCGCGCTTTTTCAAAAAATCCCGCAAGTCCCGCGACCCATCTCGATATGGCCCGCGATCCAAATTTGGGTCGCGACCCGAGGTTAAGAAACGATGCTCTAACATAAACAATGGCTTCAGAATAAACTTTTTTAATCAAAAGGAGGGAGCTATACTCAAAAACTGCATGTTCAGAAAAATTGTGCTAGAAAATGGGTGGGAGGTGGAGTCTCGAAACTTTTTGTAGCATGCATATAGTTTACCGTTGCCTGCCCCCCTTGCTGGAAATGGGGCAAGAATCCCTGCTTTTCTAAATGGTTAAATTAAACCCAATGAAAAAAAATATGCATGCCTTATACACCTTGCTTTTTAAAAAAATTATATTGAAAAATATAGGTAGACAAATTTTAAAAACTGTTATTTAAATAAAGCAAATTTTAAAATTTAACTGTTGCAGTTCTAGTCCAGATTTTTTTACCCTGCGTATTTTATTTTAAAAATAAAAATATTGTTTCAGAGCATATTTTTAATTATTTGTCAAATAAATATAACAAACGAGTCTGTTTTTGCTTTCGAGCAAATAGAATTGTTTTACCTACAGGGTGTATTTTTTATTTTCTTATAAAATGCCTTTTAAACTTATATTACTAGCAAAAACTGTTAATAATATTATATATAATATGTACAGGGTCCGGCATCAGAATTGAACGGTTTTGAAAAGGCTGCTATGGAAATACTATTGATTTGGTATATGTCAAATAGTGACAGACTTATACTTTATTGCCGAAGGTTTCGTGTGCAATGTCAAACTGGCCGGTTAATCAACGGATATTTGCTGTAAATTCGTTTAGCCTGACCCAGTCCTTCGTATACAAACGTATACAAACGCAGAGACGCTTTCGTCGTGCGAGCTGAAGTCCTATAAAAAAATGCCATTTTGAGATGGGTAAGAGATTTTAACGAAAAAGGCATTGTAAAATCAAAATTTGCCAGTTTGTACACAAGAAAATATTGGAAGAGTCAGAGAAGCGTTTGAGCGGCACTCGACTGCTCTACACATTTCAGACCGAAGTTTGCGACGAATTTTACATCTGGATTTAAAACTCCATCCAAAAAACCGACAGTCCAGAGGCTAAATCCCATTGATAAAGTCAATCGACTCAATTTCTGCACACAATTTTTAATTGCCATTGTACACGAAACTTTCTGCAATAAGGAACAAGTCTGTCACTATTTGACATATATTAAATCAATATGTAGTATTTCCATAGCAGCAATTTTAAAACCGTTCAATTCTGTTGCCGGACCCTGTATATTCAATTTGAAATAACCATGTTTTTGTCCCTGAATTTAATTTTCTTTTATGTTTAATAGTACCTATATGTCTGAGCCGAAAAATAAATAGTGTAAATTTCCTCAGAAAAAAAGTTCCCTACTGTTTCTATTTGAAGAGCAAGCACATAATTTAAAAATTTAAAAGAAAAAATTGAAATTGGTCTAAAATTTAAAATTCTTCAAAAGTATTTAAAAAATAAGACAAATTATATTAATTATTATTATTATTATATTAAAAAGTAAAAAGTATGTATGTTTTTAATAATAAAAAAATGAATCAAAAAATATTTTTACCCAAGTTCAAATTTAGGGGTAATTATTTTACAATGAAACCAAAGAAAGTAAAATCAATTGATTTCAAGCATTTAGCTTTTTAATCAGACAAAAAAACAGCAAAGATATTTGATATAGTTAATATGTTAGTAATTTTATCTTTAAAAAAATGTTATTTTTTAATTATATCTTTGTTATAGGTATGTTAACCTTCTAAATTTATTTTTTCATATACATATATTGACAAACAAAAATATTGTCTATCTTTATCCATATTTTAAATTAGTCGTCAACGACTGATATAAATTTTATTAACCAATATACATTTTAGATGATTTTATTGGCCAAAAACAAATCTAGTAAACCATGACTTATATTAGCAAAATTATTTTATATGATTAAAAGCAAATGTCACAAATGTCAAATAAATCTTGATGAAATTTTAATTGTTTTATGTCTAATTTAAAATGTCAATGTATAGAAATCAACTTTTTTAGGGAAAATGTAAACTTTGAAAGATAATAACAGTTTTTAAAGAAAATTACTACGTTGCCATGTCGTGCAAAAACCTATATCCACTGATATGTTAAATCAGTTGATATAAATAAATCAAAGTTTCTGCATACGGGCCTAAGAGTTGAATTTTTTTATTTGTTTATTGGAATTGACTTGACTTTTAAATAAATAATTACTTTTATAGGTGTTTCCATTTCCCGAACTCCCGAACCGAAATCGCCGGGAATGAGCCTGATAAGCGTGTCAGGACTAAACAGCGGCCGGCAGTCGCGTTCCTCCAGCCTCAGCGTCCCGGCGCCTTTGTCTTCGGGATCCCTAAGCGTCTCGACGACCAGTTTAACCAACTCGAGTTCACACGGGTGCCACACGAACGGCCACGAGTGCCATACTACCCAACACGAACCATTTACGCCTTCGTTGGCCAGATCAACTACACCGGTGACTTCCAGATCGAACATACCTACGCCCAACAGCAGGTAAAATGATCTTGGAATAAAAAAATATATCGATTTAAAGTTTTAAAAGCGTTAATAATCCATTTAAGTCTATGAGTGAGTGAGTATGAGTATAAGTATAAGAGACGTATAACCAGCCCCATTGCCTCATCACTCCCGGACCCCGTACAGGCCCATGTTGCCCAAGCACGTTTTGTCTTTTTTTCTTAAATTAAGTATTGCATTTATTTATTAGTTAAACAAATGACAAGCGCAATTATTCTGTTATCTAATGTTTACAAATCCAGTAGAGTTTGGTTATTATGCTTTTTTTACTATGTCAGAGTTATAATGATTAATGTGTTAATTTATTCTGTGTGTCTAGTGTTTATTATTGGTCTCGTTTGGGTTTGCCTTACGCATTTGTTGTTGACAGATTTATTATCCTACGCAGTGTGCCTTTCTTAGGATTTTAAAGATATCTGTCGTGTTTAATTTGCAGATTATGTGTTAGGTCATGCATATGCTTAAAGTTACTTATCAATTTTTTGCGGATGGCCACCTCCCCTCTTGTTTGACCTCCTTTGTTTGTCCAGTGAAAAGCGTCCAATGACAGGTGGCACATTCATCACTTAACACTTCACTCCTCATTGACCGTTGGACCATTTTAGTTTGCACTCTATGAAAATTGTTTGTTTCACTATAGTTGGTTTGCACATTTTAAAAATTATTGTTGGTTTTAATCTTTAAACTTTTACGTTTTAAGAGCTCTCGCTCTCGCGTGGTGCCTTCTCAAGTGCTGGAACCTGACTGTTAATAATCCATTTGAGTCTAGTTTTATAAAATATTTTGAACAAAATACCACTTCCGGTTTAACCGGAAGTGACATCAACTTTATTATTTCAAATGGAAGACCACATATAGGTATTCTTACATTTTTAAATTCTACATAAAATTATGAGTAAAATTACTATACCATGTCCTTGTCAATTATTTAAGATTTTTTAACAAATTTCCTGATAAAACCCAGGGTAAATTAAAGTTAGGTAATAACTTTTTTATTTTTAATGTAACACCTGGTATGTTTTTACATAATCAAATAGTTAATTAAAAATCTTTTGATTGATATTAATATTTCCTATACTAAGTTAATAATATAAAAGATATTTAACAATTACTAAAATTTTGTAAAATATTATTTTGTATCAAGAAACCTGTGACGGGTGACTTGATAGTATCTATAGTTACCACGTAATCTGTCATTGTTCAAAATTTAATGGCGTCAAATTTTGAGGTTGTTATAAACAGTATGTTGACTAATTTATTATTTTGTAAACAATATTTTTGATAAAAAAAATCGCAGTAAGTAACTTATAAAAAACCTTGACAAATTTAAAAGTTATACAAACAGTATTTGCTAATTTTGAAACAAAATACTCAACAAGGCTGAAGGATGTCAACTGGATAAAGCACTAGCTCATTACAATAATAAACAATTTTTGTACTAATTTTTTACTAAATTTTTCATTTACATTCAAGCCTTTCTTAATTCTTATTTCTACATTATACGTTGCTTTTCTTGACTAAAATATTGTTGGTTTTTTAAATTGTTACAGTTACCTACTCATTGTTTTTGTTATTAAAATATTTCATAAAATAAATTTTATATTTTATTGTCCCCAATGAGTTACGGCTTCATCTAGTTGACATCCTACAGCTTTGTTGATTTTTTTTTAAATTAACAAATACTAGTACTTGTTTGTATAACTTTTAATTTTAAAAATTTTTGCCTTGTCTATATTTTATAAGTCACTGACTGCTATTTTGTTTACAAAAAACTTCCGTATATTAACTTGGTTTGTTTAGTTTCGGTTAAGGTGTCCCGTAAATGTAAAATTCCTGTAAATTATGTAAATAAGTACATCTATACCTACATAAAAAACTGTTTTATATAATTTCTTAGAAAAGGTCAATGAAAAAAATGTACACAAATTATTTCTGTCCTGTTTCCCTACGCTTAAAAAATAATCAATTTTTTCCCTTCGAATAGGGAATTTCCCTACGTGTTGGCAACACTGGTTTTGACATTAATAAATTTTTATTTCAGTCCCCGTAAGGAAACGAAGTCGAAAAGTGCCAGCGAGCCGGAGCGCGAACGCGAAATGTTCAGGTTTCCGAAATCGTCGACAGACGGCGCCCTGAGTTCGGTCCTGCACGTGCAGGAGTCCAACCTCAGCTCGGACGATTTTCACGAAGCGCTATTCCTGCTGGAACGGTCGCCTAAAACGCGGGACTCCAAACGTAAAAAGAAATCCAAGAAAAAAGACAAAGACGACAAAAAGGAGGACGTGAGTTCGGTTTTATAAAAACTAAAAATCAAGGACTAAAAAAAGGACAATTACTATGGTGTTTTTATTATTACGTGAGCTAATCGTGACACTAGCCAACTTTATGCCTTTGTAATAATTACCTTCAATTACACTGCGCAACATGTATTTGTGTACCTAGATAACTTTCACAAAATTGGTGATATCTTCAGAAGTACCCATATGTTTTACAGAAAATACTTATTAACTTAAATATGAACAGTTTAAATGTCCACAAAAAACCTTATTATAACTTTTTCAAAAATCTAGATATTTTACAAGAAATCGCGGTAATTTTTGCTGGAAACGTATGTTTAATTTCAACAGAGCTCTGCACACTTTTTTTTTTGTAAATTTTTTGACACTTGAATATAAAACACTATTTAATAAATATTGAGGTTACGAAAAAAATAACCATTTACTAAAATTTTAAGTGGGGACTTCACCTCAAAATACGAAAAAAAGTTCCTAAGAAAAGGGAGTAAAATCTTTTGTTTTAAATGCTGGAAACAGAAAAACAAATGAACGTCAACTTTCCAATATATTTACAAAAATAACATTTTTGGGACACCCTATATACTTTTACATATTTTAAAAGAAAATTTAAATTGGAACAACAAATTATTATAATATAACTATCCTAAAATTAAAAATAAACAATTAATAAGCACTTGATCTTTCTTATTGTTGAAATATCCAAATTATTTTAATTTAAAAATCAGAAAGTTCAAGTGCTTATTAATTGTTTATTTTTAGGTTTAGGGTAGTAATGTAATAATAATTTTTTGTTCCAAATTAAATTTTTTTAAAAAATACCTAAAAATATATAGGATGTTCCTTTTATATTTTTTTATTTCTGTGAATATTTCGAAAACCTTAAGTTCATTTGTTTTTCGGTTTTCACCATTTTAATCAGAAGAAAAAATGCTACCAACTTGCTAATTTAACCGACTTTGTGGCTCAAATAATAATATACATTATGTCCCCGGATTTAATTTACAAAAGGGAAAAAATATTATTGATATTTTGAAGAAAACTAGGTAATTCTTATTAAAAAAGACATTGAAATAAAATAATGTAATTTTGTATACAGGTTGTTTAAAAATGAGGAAATTCATTCAAGCGAGAAGTACCTTTATTTTTAATATAGAGTTGATTTTCTTTGTTTTTTATTCCAGGGACAAGTTTGTCCAAATAAGATAAAGGCATTTTTATTTCTGGTTTGTAGAAGAAAAGTAATTCTTGATAAAATATTTTAATTGTCCAAAAATAACATTCGCTTAGTAAAATTTGTGATTTTATCTACAGGGTGTGTAAAGATAATGAAGAATAAAGCAAATTCGACATATAATTTTTAATAAAATTAAAAAAAAAATTAGCAAGGATTCCGCCAAATACTATTTTTTTCCCTGTTGTTAACTCGATCTGGAGGACATCCTGAATATATTATATTGTAATAAAAGGTAAGTTTTTCCGTACCCAATATGATTAATATAGTGTATTAAATTTCTTTCTTTTAAAAATTTCATATAAAAAATTAAAAAATTTAAGAATCTAAGAAATATTGTTAAAACACCGGGCAATTTGGGCCATTTAAAAAAAATATCATTTTTAGTGGATTAAACGTTTCGGCCACTTTTTTTGTGTCAGTTACGTTCGAACAACGTTATTGGATTGTATACAGACATGTTTATACCACGTTGTGATTACGTTAAGTAACGTATAGTACTATAACGTGTAGGTAAAGTGGCCAAAACTTAAGCAACCAGAATTATTTGTTTAAAACTTTATTTTCCTCTATTTGAAAACATTTCTGCTTTTAAAGAAGGGAACTTTAAAGTGGTAATCAATCCTATCCAATCACTTAAGAATGACCACCGCAAAAGCAATCAAGTTTTGCCACCTTCAAGGTTTGACAAAAGTTCCAAAAACCTTGCCAAAACTGGTTTACCAACTTTACTACCACTTTCAAGTAATACTTAAGTGGTTTGGTTTGGTGGCCGTTACTATTCATAATCAACTTTAAAGTTTTGACAACTTTAAGGTGGTGTCTAAAGTGGTCATAATTATGTTAACATTTCAGATACCAGACACCAAAAAGTTATAAAACTATGAATTATATTGTGCTGGTGCCATTCAAATATTACAACTATGCTAATATAATATTAAAGATATTTTAACTGTATCGTAGTAGATTTAGTTATGTTAACGTAATTGCCATTCCTTTGAAGTTGCGATATCAGTTTTCGTCACTATAATGCTACTTGGGTAGTTACTTTTCTAAGAAATCCGCAAATTGATATTTTTACGAGGGTACGATAATAAACCAAGACTTGCAACGACTTCTCATGCGGCATAAAATAGTCTACAGTTACTAAATAAATAAAATTTCTCACATACTATGAAAAAGTGAAACTTTTAAGAGTAAAACTATTTAAATATCTCATATTATGATATATTTAAATATCTCATATTATGATATGTTTAAATATCTCATATTATGAGATATTTAAATAGTATTACTCTTAAAAGTATCACTTTGTGCGCAATAGTAGAAAAATTCTTTTTTTTTCGAAAAAGCCGCCAACATAACAATTACCTATCGAAGTTGCTTATTAAGGTTATTATACAGAACAACATTTAATAAAATTTTAAAAATAATTATATTCCAGAAAAAAATAGTCACGAATTTAAGGTTTATAACCTTAAAAGAGTTTGACATTTTTGAGGGTACCAATAGTTAAAAACTAAATTCCACCAAAAATCGTTTAAAAATGAGCTTTATTCTTTAACAATTTTGCGTGCGATAATTTAAATTTTTCTACTCTTATTACGGAATATGACCGTTTTAATATTACCTTTGAAGTATTGCAGAATGAATTATTCTATTATTGGATGAGGAAATCTGGTGACATCTCTGTGTTTACTATCTAAAAAATTTAGACCGATCCAACCTCACTTTCTACCAATTAAAATATTGTTCTATGGTATTTTTCGGAAACTTAGAAAAAGTATAGTCTGAAACACTTTTGGAATTGCATATTCCGCTCTCGTGAAACCGTCAAACTCGCTTTCGGCTCGTTCAAAATGTTCACTCGAACGGATTATGCCGTATTCCAAACTTCAACTTCAAACTCAATCAAAATCGAGAAAATTAATTCTATACAAAAACAATATACAAATATCTAGAAATCTAGATTTTTAAGAAAACATGTATTTTGTTTAAGCTGGCATTTTCATACTCAAAATCTTGTTGCGCTGTGTAATTTTATTTCAGGTTTTTTGTTTGTCTTTCAAGAAAAAAAAAACGAAAACATTTATTTAATTATTCTTAAGGGTCTCGATTAGGTATATAAGACTGTTTAATTTGTTAAACTTATTGTTGTGCAAACGTATCTACGCAGTTTTATACGTTTTGTGATATAAAAAACGTAGATTTAAGACTTTTTTAACGTGACCAACATAATATTGAAAAATATTGAAAATATTTATTAATTTAAAGTAGGATTTTTGTTATTAACCTCTATGATTTGCGTAAATTTTCCAAAGTTCTAGGATCAATTTTAGCTGCAAGCAATGGTTTTTTTCCATTAACTTTTCTATCATTTTATTAGGAATTTTAAATCAAAGAAAATTTGTGTTTCCTATAGCCGCCCATATTGAAATTAGATGGTTTGGAATCCAACGATGTATGAAACTTTTTAGTTTTTGTCTAATATTTTGAGAACCGCTGTTGTTTTTCCAATTTTTAAATTTTATTTTAATAGGCTTTTAATTAGGTACGCAATTTTTCTCTGATATGACCGACCTTGTAGCTCTTTACATAAAAATTCCCATATAAGGGTAATAAAAACATTTTTTTTTCCAACATAAAAATTCAGTTAAAATTTCAACTCTTATTGAGTTTAAACATTTCCCATTGAAATAACAGAGATATAATGTTATCATTTCCTTCTGCAACCTACACTCACTGGCAAAAAAACTGGCCACAATTTTAATGATTTTCTCGCTTATCTCATTTTTAAGATTTTTTTGTAAATAAAGGTCAACTCTTTAGTTACGATGCTATGGTAGAAAATTGAATTTTGATTTAAATTAAAGAATATACAGGGTGTAAGGTAAGAAGAAGTTTCTTTCCCTAAATTTGTAAAACACTGTAGGGTGCATCAGCAATAACAGCGGATGTCAAATTATACTGTATTCCTAACATGTTTTTTTATTTTCGTTGTTATCTGTTTTATTAACCCTTAACTAGTCGCGCAGGTGCACTGAGTGCTCCGTTTTTATTAAAACCTCTATAACTTTTTGTCGTTTTCTTGTAACCTATGACTGATGTGTCTACCATGCACTGTCGACGGCATTTCGATGGTTATTTGACAAAACATCGTAAGCGACAAAACTTAAATTTTACAGGAGAGATTTTTTTTGTTTGGGAGTTTTATTTTTTAAGTTATTTATCTGAAAACTGGTGAGGCATTATTTTATTAATGTATAATTCAAATATTTAAGTAAGATCGAATCCAATATAAAATTTTCATTAAATTTTGTGGCATACGATATTTTATAAGAACATCTTTAGGAAAATGTAAAATTAGTCTTGTCGCTTAAGTTACATTTACGTTACTTTGTGGGATATAAATTTGATGATTACTTTTGTCAAAACATCATTAGCGACATTTATTTTTTTACTTTTATTATTAAATAAAAAAAAATTACAAAAAAATTAATTTATAAAATATCACCAACGATATTTTGCCAAACAATATTTGAAAATGAAATTCTACATTAATGTAGCTAATTAGCTTTTTTGGAAAAAAACGAACGATTTTTATTCACAGACCAGTATCTAACCCATGGAGCCTACACAAGGAGCCCGAACTTAATAGGGAAAATTAATAAAACCTGCCCTCTAAATTGTACAATTTAAGTTTCTTTTTTTCACCACCAGCGGCGCTGATTGTCGATGCTAGCGTTTCAGTACAAATTAAACAATTGTTTCAGAATAAACGGAACACCTCCGCCCTCTTATCTTAGGAAGATTCTTGTTTACATGATGTTCGGACTCCTTTTGTAGGCTCCATGATCTATCCCATGGTACCATGATCTAACCGTTTATAAATTTGAGTCAAA